GAGCGTGTTCTGGCTGCTGCCACAGACCCCAAAAGACCAATTGGTTTAGATGCCCTAAAATTACACGTTGTCGCTGTCTTACCTCTTACTCTTTAGAGGATTCTCTTGAAGTTCCTTCGGACTCAGTGTCTTTAGTCCTTGGATCCAAGCTGAGCAGCTAAAGAGGGTAGGAAACAGCCCGGCTTTTTTGTACTGAATGTTTAAGATGAAGCGTTTTCTGACGGAAATCTTGCCTCGTGCTGATGAAGTTGTGAAATAGATACCAGCTTTTTCTCACAGTAGTTGGAGAGATAAGCCAAATACATGCCTGGTGGTAACAGATGTTTCCAATTCTCGAATATAAACATGTTAGGAGACATCTGTTTTCTCTGAATGGAGAAGTCAGGAAGTGCCTACTACGGATGCTGTACTCTCTATTTCCCAGTGCATTCCTGTCAAACGCAGGCACTGCAGCGGCCTGACCGCTGTGCATTTCAGCCTTTAACAACCAGCGCCTCATCCGTCTCTCAGAGTGGAGAAGGCAGGAAGGAGACAGCCTGAGCAACAGGTCAGCCAGGGTTCCATTGCAGCGATCTGACGCGCTTTGGATCAGCTTTTCCCGCGGGTGAAAGGGTAAACGGCTGCAGTTCTCCCTGGGGGGGCAGGTGTGATGCCAGTCCCAGCCATCCCGTCAGCCCGGCCGCCCAGCAGCTCTGCGGCCTTCCGGTTCCTGCAGTCAGCCCGACCCTGGTCAACGCCAGGAACGGGCTGGAGAGCACCAAGCGATCGGCTGAGGGTACAACCGGCCGGCTCAGAGCCCTGGCCGCTTGGCATGACAAGGGCCTTTTCCTTCAGAAGCTGAAGCATTTCCTCAGCAGGTTAGCTTTGTGAGGTTTGAAGTCTGGGCATTTGCCTTTGTTAGGTAACTCTGTCTGCGTTTGACGCCTCGGGATGAAAAACGGTCCTAGAAACATCACTTGCTCTTGAAACTTATCAGCGTCACCGGGAAACATCTCAGGCCCGTAAAGCGTAAGGCTGGTAACGCAGCAAGTGCTGAGGAGACGGCCTCGTCAAAGGCGACGGCGCAAAGCAGCTCCTGCTTCCAAGGTCGCCCACTTCGGAGCCAGAGCACTTCTGCCGGCACTTCAGGGCGTTTGAAAGGAGAGCCTTCCCACCCACCCCCAGCTGCCACCAAGATCTGTAACGCGATGCTTGCTTTCTTTTTCTCCCCCCTTCCCTTAAGCCAGCAGTGAACGGAATCGTTTATAACACGGAAAAGCTGGGGAATGGAGTCCACTTGGTGACGCTGTTGGTAAACAGCGACGGATTATACAAGCTGAGTCGCCTGTACGTTACTCCTGACGCCGCCTTCTTCCGAGTTCACGTTCTGATCGTGGATACTCTGAACTGCAGTAAACCGTGTCCAGACTTCAGACTTGGTAAGTAATTCCACCTAAACCCATTCCACTCTTCCTCCAGCGTGCAGGGCAGTTGTAGTCTGCCCAAGACCAACAGGCTTATCCGGAGATGTTGTGAACGCTCCGGGGGGTGGAAAGAGTTTGCTCTTAAACTGGAGGGCTGTTTCCCTGCAGTTTCTCCAGAATTTTCAGAGGAGAACCGAGTGAAGAGGTCAGGTAGCAGCGCAGTCCTTTCCCTTTACCCAGTTCCAACATGAGCGCCAGAGTTTTCAGGATTGACAAAAAAATTTAGGCAAGAGCTTAAGCTGCTGTCTTTGTAAGTAGTGCTGTTCTCCTTCTAAATGCAAGTTTATCAAATACTAGTACTTCCCCCCAAAAGCTTCCACTCGCAATACAGAACAGTAAATCGCTCCTCCCCTGCAAGCCCCACGCAAGTCCAGGGTGCCACGCGTTCAGGACGCACCTCCGCAGGGTGCAACTTCCCACCTGTCTGTCAGTCCGCTGCCCTCAGCGCCAGCGTAGCGAATCGATCCTGCGCCGAAGCCTCGTTTGTTTTGCAGGCAGTAGGTACATTGTGATGGGTCACATCTACCACAAGAGACGACAGATCCCTGCAAACCTGCTGCCATTCCTGCGAGGGCGCCTGAGGCCGGGCGACGGGCTGCTGAGACACGGCAGCAGCTACGCGAAGAGATTCAACAGCAAGAGGAATCGCAAAGTGCAGGCGGCTCGCGCCGAGTGCAGATACGGCTTCAGTAACCTCCCTCTCGGACACAAGCAGCGGAATTCCCCTGCCAGAACGAACCTGGCTGTGGTTTAGCAACACTGGGGGGTAGTTCTGCCCCCTGAAACCGGTGGTGAGAAGACGCTTTTGTGCGTTTGCAGACACAAACCGGACATTTGACTGGGCACTGTGAGTGTGTCGTGGAGTTCAGCACAGAAGTTGGTCTGGGGAACACTGACTGGTCGTGGCTTTGCTGCGGCTGTTTTCAGAGGCATAGGTTACTGTCGCCTCCCGGCTGTAGCACACCCCGAGTAACAGTCAGTAATATTCTGGAGGTGTCGCTCTGGGTACACGAGGAGTAACAGCGCTTTCAAAGCCCGAACCCTGAACGAACGTTAGGTGACACCGTGGCTTCACCTGCAGAGCATGACAGTGTGTTCTCACACGGTTCTGCCTCAAGCACTACTTGCACTTGGTTCAAAAGAAGCCAACAAAACCAAGTCCCATTTGTACTGTTTGGGTATCCTCAGACATCCCCGTCCCACTTTTAAAAGCGACATCCCGTCGCACAGAGCTGCATTCGCACAGGGAGCGCACGAACGGCCAGCACATCCCACACCACCGGTGCCCAGTTCGGCTGAGAAATAATGGCACAAGTTGAGGCCAAGGAACACAAAGCAAACAGGCAACGGCTGCGCGTCCGCTCTGCCCCGTACACTGCCAGCCCCAGAACTGCGTGTTGAACGTGGTTTTCCCGTGAGGAATGCTACCCAGTTTGCACCTGCACATCAGTAAAGTCACTTCTTGAATCAACGACACAATCTCGTGGTACCTTTAATGTGGTGGGAGGCCAGAACCGATGAAACCGCTGTGAAGGGGGTTTTAGTGTTTGCTATTCCAAGAGCCAGTAATCCCAGATCAGAAGTCTGTAAAAGAACCTAATAAAATGCTCCTGGGCTCTGGGTTCACTGTTTCCCGGGTTCTGAAAGATCCAAAAGGATCATGCCGTGAAATCAAACAAGGGCATCTCCTTGTCTGACGAGTCAGCTGGGGATTTTAATTGATATATTTGTATTAAAAAAGGGGAAAATGCAGTCTAGGTTAAAAACCAGACATTCAGTGATGCATACGCTGTGACCTGGAACAGGACACAGGGCTTCTGTGAGCATTTTCGGTTCCGAAGATCGTTCTAACACAGTTCTACCCCTCACACGCGCCTGCAGCTCCGCGCGGTGTCACGGAGAAGCTACGGAGTGGGCGGGCGGCAGGTCATGCTGGATGAAGTATTTCTTGGCATGGAATAGGAGCCACGTACCAAGAGCAAGTATCGTATGTTGTGGGAGCCAGGCGGCTGTTCCGGTAGGACAGAAACCTACTCACAGCTCGTGTCCATCTAACACACACGCGCTCTCGCTGCCGTTACGTGAAGGAAGAGTTCGCGTGGAGCGCAGCGCATACGGATGGAATGTTCCTGAGACACTGAGGGGGCTTTTGATCTGGCAGGACTGTTCCTGGCAGTGAATCAAAGCACTGGAGCGGCCTGGGAGGGACAGCAGAGGAAGGAGGAGGAGGAAGGGTTGGTGACTTGTGCATCCCAAGTGTCGTGGTTTCTATTCTCAGCCCAGGGACTAGCCAGCCAGCCCTACAGCCAGCCCTTGGCCCACAGCAACCAGGCCCCCTTCCCCGCTCCCAAGGCATTATGGTAACCTAGAACGGGCCCAGCGTGGGTACAAACCCCACATCCATGGCTGTGCCTCGTTTTGGTTGTCTCTCGGAGGAGCTAAGTCCCAGCGCACCAGTGCCGCCGACACCCACGGCCTGAGCAACGGCAGTAACGACGTCCGCAGCGCTCCGAGACAGCGATGCTCGAGAAGCCAACCCAAAGAGCCATTTATTCTGCCTTCAAGTCCTCTTGCCTTTCCGTTCCTGCTCGGAAAGTCGCTCCCGGAGGCGTTACCGCAACAATCACAGCTTTCACAGCGCAGCTGAGACACCGCTGCGCCGGAGCGCAACCCCCGCTCTCGCTCCCCGCCAGGCTGAGCACACGCCAATCAACGCGCCGAAGAAAGAGCTCCCGAGTCAGGTGGGTTTCCACCACCTCGCCAGTACAAAGCCCCAGCAGTAACGACGCTGGAAAGACGACGGCACTTACTTGCAGCAGCTGCCACGGTGATTCTGACACCTCCCAGTGAATCACGATCTTCCCCAGCATGAAAATCCTGCAGCCAGTACACAGAGATCCAGGCGTACAGGAATACTGTTGTTGTCCCGTCTTTCCAGGGCTTCAGCTCAAGGCTTCCGGGTGAGCCCAGCATTTTATTCTACTTCACATCCCCGTTAGCTTTCGCGTGAGCTAAATCTGGACCAGAGGAAAGTGCTTCGAATTCGTTTGAGGAGACGAGACGAGTACCAAGCCCGTCCCGCTCACGTTATCGAACCCGCGTTGCCACACGTGACCATTCTCAAAGACCCGTTGGGGTGGTTTATAACCACAGAGGAGGAGGAGGAGGACTGAGCAGAGATCACAGAGCTCAGGAACCTGCCGGGCTCCTCAGGAAGGCGAGCATTCATCACAAGTGAGACGCTTTCGGTAACGCCACGAAACTATGAAAAATCACCACCGACGCAGGAGACACAGAACTCCGACTACTCAGTGGCAGTCGAAAACACCACAAAAGGCTCTCAGCACAATTCAACTGCACGGATAAATTATTGCCCTGACCACCCTGATCCCCTGGCCGTTACATATAATCTGGCAAAGCCAAGACCTGTATGTGATAAGATCATCGAATGTTTCATTAGAAACACCACCAAATCCATCTCAACCACAGGACTTTATTGGTCTAGGATGACGTGTCCTATAAGGTACAAAAAAGTACTCTTCAGTTTGCCCCAATCTGGTAAAAACGTAGCAGTCTATTGCCTACGGGCGGGAAAGCTCTAAGCGATGTCCTGTGTTTACCGACGAGCAGGTAGTGCAGAAGTACCGCGACGCTCTGACGAGGGCAGGGTACGCTCAGACGCCGCTAACAGCTGGGAGTTTTCCTTTTTGCCACTGAAAACACAACGTGTACAATATGCAGCATTCTCTTCTCCAGCGCCAAAGGAAAACGTAACCTAAGCGCAGCTACTCTTCTCGGACTTTAAGAAGCATAAATGTATCGTTTTCACACTGAACCATCAGTTTTCGTGTTCACATACAGGTTAAGTGACAACTGTACGTACAAAACCCCTCGGGTTTTTACTGGATAAAATCATCCCAAGAGCCCGCACGCGTGGTCAGCGGCAACGTCTGGTGAAGGATGACGACAGCAGAGGTTCTGGCATAGCACGGTGTGAGGTTAAACCTAACGAGCTCGCCCGCGACTCGGGGAGCGCTGAAGAACGGGCGTAACTGCGGGTTAGTGCGAAGGCTCCCAGCCAGGGCTGGCGAACGGCGGGCGGGTAAGACGAGCAAGCCGTCGACATGCAGCGTGACAGCGACGGAGCGGAGGGCAGCGGCAAGGTCCTCTCCATCTGCATCTTTGGGCGACTTCAGTTCATCCCTCGTGGTAGGACTCCTCGCACAGGAACCAGGGAAGCAGCCCAGAACGGCCTCCCGAGAGAGAACTCCACGTGGTACTTGGCATTCCGAGGGGACTCGGCCAAATCTCCCTTAATTCAGCCGTGGGCAGCGACGTTCCACACAACACTCCGACCGTGTCACCTGTCACAGTCACTGCGGCGCCGCTGCGGGAGCCGTACGGAGGGGTAACTGCTGCTTGGGAACACGGCTGGCGCAGCAGACCCGGCAGCTCTCCCTGGCCGCACCCCCCCGAGACACCCGACCAGGCCCCCAGGCGTTACGCCCCCGCGCACACTCAGACACCTGCGTCTGTGGGGAGAACAAGGATCTCCATTTATTCGTTTCATATACATCCATATTTTGAATTTTAATACAAAAGAAAAAAATTAGAATCTGACAAATGTTTACAAACAAGATACCTTCAAATAGATTTTACTCGTTCAGTCTGGTGGGGAGTAAATGACAAACTGTACTGTTCTATTCGAGGCAGCAGAGTCCGTAGTCCATGACCACTCAGCCCAACTTTTACGCAAGCTTAATTGATTTTATCTACCATGAAGGATAAACTCGTCGTTGATTCCCAGTCCTGTGTGTGCACATGTGTACATAGCAGCTCCTTTCATAGAAAGAAAAGACATCTAGAGGTCGTCTTGTACTTTTACCTACAGGAATCATGTTAAGATACAGAATGGATTACATGTAACCGGGGCTGGATTTTATAAGAAAAAATAATTAGCTGACAAATGAGGGCAGCAATAAAAAAGCGTCTTTTTTGCAACAATAAATAAATACAGTCAGAGTTTTCTGTGTGGACTTTAAACCAGCTTCTTCACTGAAGAACAGACGTGGCATTTCCATGGAGTTAAATGTGACTCCATTTACTGTATCTTTTTTCTTGCTTTCTCTCTCCTTCAACAAAACAAAGTTTTCCTGCTTCTGCCACAATAGTACAACAATTTGATCTTGACAAGGAAGTGGTGCTGCTGATTTTTATTTCTTTGTCCTTTGGACAAAATAAGCCAAGAATGTAATTTGACTGTTGCGACCAATAAAAACGCAGTTTACATCAAGTCTCGTCAGGATAACCCGACTAGAAACATCTGGCTTCTCAATTAAAAGGTTTCAGACAACCAGATCCTTGCTCGTGTGTTAGGTTAACACGCTGAACTCTAAGAAGCTGTAGACTGCAGTTTGTTGTTATGGGACCTGCAGAATACGGAAGAAAGCGAAGAATTAAGCACCCTTCATTTTGGAAAACACAGTTGCTGCAAGGTGTTGCCAAGGGTCAATCCCAAGGAGGGAATTACCACCACATTCAGAAAAGAGACCACTGAAAATAATCCTCTCTGAATTCTCAGCACGTTTTCTCCGGCAGGATACAAGTATTACAGTACTTGTAACGCGCAGCGTGTCGCCGGGGTACCCCAAAATGCCCAAACTCCGTTTCACTCTCCTATGTACAGCACAGGAGCCCATCGAAAGGGAAGCAAAAAGACATTTTTGATTGTGAATATTTATAATAAGGCTTACTTTCCTTAAATTTATTCAAGACTACTTTGGATTAATTTAATATAAAAAAACTGAACAGGCATGTTAAAACCACATTTCTCCTAACCACAGTTCAGCAAAACTCCTCTTTGACATTCAAGTTTTTATTAGTGACCAGAAGTAAAACAATAAAATACATGATGTCCAAGGTGATTTTCTCATTTTTCTCAGTACAGTATTGGAGGGATGGGACAATTTTTCCTTAACACAGTTCTGTTCACCAGCAGATGTTTGCTGGGAACAAAATCCCAACGACATTTACTTTTTAGACAAGTGATCTGGATTTTTAGGGCAGTTCAATGTCATCAAATTGTACAATAAAAGAAAGTGACCCCAACATCCAGTTCTGATTCCAGTTTAAAAGTTCAGACTAAAGATATCACAATCTGCAAGAGAAGGAAGAACATGGATGGTATAAATGAAAAATGGTAACCAATACGAGGCAGCAATGGCATCGGCGTGCGAGCAGCGAACGCTGGATAACCAGCCAGCGCGAGGGGATGGAGGCACGAGCTGGGAACTACCCCATACAAAGCACTAGTACAGTACGAAATTGGAAAGGAAAACGCTGGACTAATTCATCCGACCTCATCCCCCCTTATCAAACCCTACCCTGAGCGCGTACAGAGCATCAGGCAGCTTCCACAGCACGGGAGAACCTGGAGCTTTCACTTCAGCTCATTACACAGGGATACAATCCTGCATTAGTGTCTTGGTCCAGCCGCCTGTTACAGCCGGGGCTGCTGCAGCCCGACGGACAAAGTCAGCTCCCACAGGCAGACAATTCCCGAGTAAGGCCGCGGGGCCTCCGGCCTGCGTGACTCGGGTTCCGGCGGCGTGCGGTGGGACAAGGCGGAGATGCGGGAGAAGTCTCCTCTACGCTCGGCCAGAAAAAAACAGAGCTGCCTTTCTGTAAACATTCTACACTGGCCCTTCTACAGAAACACAGGACAAAAGAGGAAGTTTAAACAGGCAATTCTGAATTGTGTGGAGTCTTCCATCTCTCGCTTTAAACCTTACCTATGCTCTCTGTTTCACGTGTGGTTAAATTATAAAAATATGAGAGAAGGTAGTAAAAACCAAAGTGCTGTAATTTCTTGTGCTGGATTATAAGCTTAATGAAATGATTGTCTCTTTTGCATCTGAAAAGTATCCACGGGACAGCAGAATGCGGAACACCGCAGCTTTCGTGCTGATCGAGAGGTTTTCTGCAGCCACGACTTCAAGTGTGTCAAATTTTCTACATTTATGATACTGCCCAATTTTGCACATAACTCCTTTTGACCAACAGTACAAAGGAAACTCCACAAAATCATAGTGAAGCCTTAATTTTGATGGAAAATGACAGCTGGCTGTTATAGAACAGATACTGTTTTCCCTTCAAAAGAAAAGCAGTTGTCCAGGAAAGAGCATGGAGCGGCAAATCCCTGTATGAATGCAAGGTAGGCGTGCAAGACGGGAGATTCGGGGGGACAACAGAGCATCTGTGATGAGAACACGTCAGCTTACCTGCTTGCCTTAAATCCTTTTAGTTTCTGTACAAAGAATGATTCAAGAACTTCTGCACACTGGTAAAAAGGGGAGTCACTTGGATTGTAGTAACGACAGTTATCAAAAATTTTGGTCATATCTGCCACAAACTCCGTGACCTTTTTGTAGTAACGTTTCAGTATTCTTTCTTCCATGGTGGCAAGGTCTTTAAAGAAACCAAAGATGATCGAATGAGACATTTTCATCCTCAACAGAAGCTCACGTTGTGGGAAACAAAGCCTATCTAGGTCAGCTGCTTTTCCAGGAATGCTGGCCGTGAGGTGGCGACACCAGCAGGTCTCCCTCAGAATGAACACTTCTGCATGTGCAGCTAAATCAAAACGACCTGGGAAAAATTGGGTCTTTGCAGGAAACTATTTGCTTTTTTTGCAGAAATTAAGAGGGGGGAAAAAAAAAAAAGGCGCCGGACAATCTGGATTCAGTCACTTGGACTTTATTTTCTTTACAGCCCTCACGGAGACCAAGAGTCTCGTGTACGTGTAACAGCTATCTAAACCTTCTGGTTATTTACTTGAAACCATAACTTGCTTCGAGGGAATTACGGATTTTCATGGGCATGTGCACATTACTACGTGGCACGGATGAAAGATTTCAAGTGCAGCATCATGCAAAATGCCAGTGCTCTCACTCTTACTGCCGAGACACATTAATGAGACCGGAGCGGTGATGTAAGCAGTAACTGTCCCGTTTTAATGCAAATGTGAATTAAAAAGAGGGGGAGGAGCAAGAACTACCAATTATGAATATAGCTGTCTAAATGTACAGTGGCACTTTTAGCTGGAAAAACAATGCCCTGCCTTGGAAAATACCCCTGAAGTGCTTACTTTGTAATGCCAGAATGTGTGAAAACAATGTGGATGGGCCCAGTGTATTTTACACATATTAACTTGTGCACTTACAGGCCTAGTTTCCTGCTAGTTAAGTCAGAAAGGGCTAAATGCACTTTTGTTTACTTCATTCAGTCATCATCATATGCTTAATCATAGAATCCCAGACTGGTTTGGGTGGGAAGGGCCTTTAAAGCGCCCCCAGCCCCACCAGCACCACCTTCCATAGCCCAGGTTGCTCCAAGCCTCATCCAGCCTGGCCTTGGACACTCCCAGGGATGGGGCATCCCCAGAGGGCAACCTGTCCCAGTGCTCCCCACCCTCTATAAGGAATTTCTTCCTGATGTCCCATCTCAATCTCCCTCTTTCCGTTCAAACCCGTCACCCCTTGTCCTGTCACTACAGCCCCTTGTAAGAAGTCCCCACTTCAATCAATTCTTGTTCATAGGCTTTAAAGACAAATTACACAAAACATCAGATTTTGTGTATGATTGAGTCAGAAGATGATAATTTTAAACTCCACCTTAACCTGCAAGTCACAATTAGCTGCATTAGCACCACTTTTTCCTTCTACTTTGCAGGAGTAACTAATGCACAAAGAAAAAACCCAAGCCAAGCAAACCAGCAAAACTGTCCTCTTGAAATAAAGTAATTTAAACCCAAGAATTCTATCCCATTGCTGCACTGAACTGATCGTTTCATGCATTAGAGGGACAGTATTCAGGGTTAAGGAGTCAGCCCAGAAGTACCGAATCTCTCGGCTGGAGAAGACCTTTAAGATCAACCGCTGACCTAACACTGCTGACACCACCCCTGGGCCACGAACCCTGGGCACGTCAAGGCCCACGAATCTGTCGGAGAGGGACCACACGGTTTTGTCCGCCTAACTGCACAGACTGCCGATGCAAGGCAGCTCTAAGTTCCCTGGGCAGAAATGGTCAGCAGGGAATTCATTTGGTATCGACCCCCCCCAAACCCACTCGTGCTGTTGCTCAGAAACACTCACCCATGGGCTCTTTGATCACACCATAATAATCTGGCGCATCATTGGGATCTACTGGTTCTAGGAACGGCCATGCCATCTTGTGAGCCTGGCAGGAAAACAAGAGGGAATTACAAACCAAGTTAAGGTAAATTAGCACTGTTTAGCAGCTGAACATTTTAATTATTGTTTTATCTGTTGGGGCCCAGGGTTGAACCTGAGGAAGAAGGGAGTGTTAGGGGAAAAGGTAACTAGTTCTCATCTGACGACGGGGTCAAGTTTTGAAGCTCAGTGTCAGCGACCGAGCAGTTACGTCTTCAACACAGGAAACGCCCTGAAATCCAGACACGGGAGGAGGCTGCGCGGAACAGGGCGCAACCCGTTACTGGGGGCGCTCGGCACGTCACACCTAGAAAGCAGGCGCTGGTTTTGCTTTCCAGTACTCTGCAATTATTTGTTACCACAGCTGTCTGCAAAATACAGGACCACGTAAAACGTTACTTGAGGATTTCTGTTACCACACAATTATTTTACCAAAGTTCTTAAAAATGCTTTAAAATTGTAGCAGAATCATATAATCATAGAATCACAGAATGGTTTGGGTTGGAAGGGACCTTAAAGCCCATCTAGTTCCAACCCCCCTGCCACGGGCAGGGACACCTTCCATAGACCAGGTTGCTCCAAGCCTCATCCAGCCTGGCCTTGGACACTTCCAGGGATGGGGCCATCCACAGCTTCTCTGGGCAACCTGTTCCAGTGCCTCAACCCCCTCCTCGTGAAGAATTTCTTCCTGATATCTAATCTAAACCTCCCTGATTTCAATTTGTACCCATTACCCCTTGTCCTGTCACTACAGGCCCTTGTAAAAAGTCCTCCCCCAGCACCCTTGTAGGCCGCCTTCAGATACTGGAAAGCTGCAAAGGCAGAAAAGGCATATTTGGGAGTGGCAGATAAACCAGAAATACATCATAACAGGCAGCGATGTAATTCTTATTCTTAGGATGCCATCATTTACGTGCTGATACTTTCTGTGAGAACACCACTGAAACCGAACAACTTTGAGACTGAAGTGCAGAGTGCAGATCAGAAATCACAGAAAACGAACCCGAGAACAAACACTGCACCTCCTACATCGTGTGCAGTTAGGCCACCACTCTGCCTTGTGGTATTCTAGGTAAACCTGCTTCCCACAAAAGCCTTCCACTGGGGAGATTTGGTTTTCCTAACTCAGTGACAGACTAATGACTGTAAATATTCCTCAGCACAAAAATGCTGGCTTGCAGCTGTTTTCCAGCTGTGTCAGTCGGCAGCTGACACAGTGGCACTTCTCACACGCACCCCCAACCAAAAACCAAGACAAACTCTGCTGTTTCCTTTTTCCAAAGTCTCAAAACTACTAAAAGAGCAATCAAAACCCACTCCAAAGGCACTCGCTATGTCCTACACCGTAAGGCCCTCACTCCACTGCCGCCCCTTCGGCTCACCTGTAAGGAACGCAGCACTCTCCTTAGACCTTCGTAGTCTTTGTCAGTTAGGGGACTGAGCACGGTCATGGCATCTTCTGTGGACTGGCACTGCGGACAGACGTACTCATCAATGAGATCTGCCTCGCTCTGTAAGATGCCAACGCAGCGCCCGTGATACCAGTTCTGACATCGGTCGCAGCCAATGTAAAATCTGCAAGAGCCAAAAAACCGTTAGGGACTTGATCCGTGTAATCGAAAGGTTACATGTAAATACATAAACCTTCAATTCCCTGCGCACAAGCAGATTCTTGGCATGATTAAACACAACAGTGTAACATGGTATTTCAGACTGAAATATTCCAATTACACTATTTAACTGCTTTTGCATTTACAGACAGGCTAAGTTACAGACCATTTCAAATCTAGTTCCTAAATTTTGTACTAGGCACTTTCAAGCAACGGAGATTTTGAAAATCATCCCTCTGCTTTGGAGTCGAAAGGAAGAGTGTAATGCCCCAAGCCTCACCCAACCAGTGTTCCAAAGCAGTTTGAGACACATTTTGAGCAACGCGGACTACAGCGAGGGCTCGTGTCACGCCCTGCCAGCGTCTTGCGCAGGGAAGCCTCAGCCTCGCGGCTGAATGCAGACGGGGTGCTCCGTGACACACAGCCTTGCAGGAGGAGATACCAACCATACACCCCACACGAAAATTACGTTTTCTGTCCCGATCAGATTAAAGCACAAAAAAAAAAAAACCCGACTAAATACTACGTTTGTCTCTTAATCTTTCTAATTATCCCTCATTTAAACAACAAACAAAAACCACTCCCGATTTAAAGTAAATGGTGTTTTTTGGCAGGTTTTTTGTTTAGTCTTTTTTTTTTTTTTAAAACCCAACACATTTTGACCACCCTGAAAACTTCACTTTTCCTAAACATTTACTGCACAGAAACATTTCGGAGAGGAAGACAATTACTGAAAAGCAATTTGTATTACGAATGAATACAGCATATGCAGAATAGCTACTTTTTTTTTTTTAAATCTTTGCAAGGAACAGGTAACCACAGTCAGAGCAGTTTGCTACCTAAACATTAAATAAGAGGTTCTTATCCGAACTCACTGCGACTCATCATAAGGTGTTCTGCAGATACAGTACAATTCCTCACTGCTGCCCTCTTGTGCCCGTTTACAATCATTACAGATGTACACATCCATTTTCTTAGCCTCCTTTTCTGTGATGCCAACACATTCTCCATGATACCAGTTAGTACAAAGATCACAGCCAATATAGAACCTAAAAGTATTCACAATGAAAATGACAATGTAATTGTCATTTCAAATGGCATGGCACTTTTCCCTGCATTTCTCTCTGATGCACTTTCTTGCTGGCCTACTTCAATTTTCTGTTTCCCTGCTTCCTAGTGTTCTAGGCTTAACGCCTCACGCTGCAGCTAGCCTCTCGGTAAGGTCTCTTGGGTCAATTTTAAATGTACAGTTCATTAAAATGCACATCAATATGTAGCCAGACTTTGAGAAAACTGGGCTAAAAAGGTATGTCTGCAACGTGTGTGTGAAAAACTGTAAAAGGCACAAAAAGACAAGGCCAAAGAAAAAGATTTTACATTTTCAAAACTATAGCTCGAAAGCCACTGAAACATTTCCTTAAGATTTGAAAATGTAGGTCTCAGTTAATTTAAAAAACAAAAGCAAAGCGCAAACACCAACTAGGAGTTACAAGGATACTAGGAAGAACATGCATACCAGCCATGTGTAGCATACATATTGGTATAACATGATACAAAAGAAAATTGGGCCAGGACATGGTTCTCATAATCTTAATTGGTTTTTTAGGGTTGGTACTGAAAAACAGATATTAAACTCTTCCAAATTGCAATTAACTGGAATGTGGACCATTCTTCAGAGAATAATGTCTACTCTGAGACACAGCCGTGTGACGGAACCAGATATGGTATGACACGAAGTGAAGGGGACCGGGTACAGAATCATGTGAATGGGACCTTGCACAGAATGATGTGACAAAACTGTAAAATATTATGCAAGGATGTTTGACGTTTTGGGTATGGATATTTCAAACAGACCTATGACTAGTGACAACCAGATGGGCGAAGGTACACATCCATTCTCTCTGCCTGAGCAAAAGCAAGCTGCCTCGTAACCTCCACCTTCCTACACGGCGGGGACGGC